TTCAGGTTGTCTGTGCAATCCGATGTTACGGGCCAGAAACTTGTGTTTAGTAACCCTCCGGACTCTGCAGGGCGCTGAGAGTCCTCCATGGCCTGCACTCACTCCCTGCCGGGAGCTCCCCCTGTGTGACAGCCACACACGACCCCACACATGGCTCAGTATCCCCAGTAGAGAGCACTGCTCTAGATTTTCTTACGAGCTAGGGTAGAGTGGCAGGGGGGAGGTCACTGAAGCAGGTTTTTGACACCTAGTTGCCAAAGAGCCTTGATTTTGCCACTCTGGGAAATCCTTTGACAGCATAGGTGTGACAAAGTGGAGCTCAAACCCAGCTGTCTTGACTGAGATAATGAGGGGCTGGAGTGTGGTCAGAGAAAAGGCCTCTGCCTAGAGGGGCGGAGGGTATTGGTTCAGGAGTGGAGTGTCTGCCTAGTATGCAGGAAGCCCCAGGTCCATACCCAGCTTAGCAGTAGTAGTAATTAATAATAATAATAATAATAATAATAATAATAATAATAATAATAAACAACTTATAAATTGTCTCTCATAATGAGGACACCACTGCGGGGGGAGGGCGTGTAAAATGGCGATAACCTTCAAAAAACAGTTTGAAATTTCAAAAGCTAACGGAAGATCACTATGGCACTTAGGCATCCCTGCCAGGTTTCACTCAAGTAGAACACACAGATTCTGATGTGTGTGTATGGCAGTTTTAATTGAATTACTCACAGGCGCCAAAGGATAGAAGCAATCTAAGTGTCTGTCGCTGGGGATGTAGAAAGATGAGATGTGCTCCACTGTATAAAGGACTGTGCTCTCAGCCTGGCAGAGAGACGTCGTCATGCAGACACCTGCTCACCCATGGATGGTATTCAGAGACATGAACCAGACACAGGACACTCCCTGCAGGGTCCCACTCCCAGGAGTTCCTTGCCTTAATCAGAGCCAGAGCCAGGAAAAGGGATGGTGGGCGCCTGGGGTGGGGAAAGGATGAGTTAGTGTTGAATGGGAACGAAGCTTCAGAGCGCAGAGATGAAAGGCTGGGGACTCAGAAGGGATCCGGGCTCAGCTTGGAATGGGGAGCATAGAGATTAAACTATTAGCTTAGAAGGGGGCTCCGCGGCTTCTTTGGAGGTCTCTCCTGCTGGGTCGTGGGTCAAGGATGCGGAGATTCCAGTTGCCCGGCAGGAGGCGCGCTCTGCACACGTCCCGGAGCTCCGGGTACCAGGGTGGGCGGGGCCTGGACGGGGAGGAGGGGTCGCGGGGTCACGTCACTCCAGACTTCGAGCCACCAGCTCCCCAGCACCGCCCTGCACCTCTCCGGGCTGTGTGACCCCAACCGAGCGACCCCTTTCCCTGGGCCTCTTCTGGGACCTGAGCAATGAGACAGAGCAGGGATAAGGCTGGGACAGCATATGAGGCAAGCGCTCGGTTGGCAGGTCCCCAGGGTCTCCTGAAGAGTGAAGAGCCCGCAGCTGATAGCGCTGTTTTCTTTATTGAGATACACCAATCAAGCGAGAGGGAGGGAGCTGGAACCAGCGCCGGTAGCTGGGGGAGCAGCAGAGAGAAGGGCCGGGGTCTCGACGAGCAGCCCTTAAGAACCTTCCCTTACGTCAACCCCGATTTCCCTTCACCCCGCCCTCATGGGCATGTCCCGGTACACCTGGCACCTGTCCGGGTTGCCTGGGGCGGAGCTAGGGTGTCTCCCTACAGTCTCCCCTGTAGGCGGAAGTGTAAACTCCGGCTACAAGCTCCACGTTGGGATGCTGCATTGGGGTGTAGTCCCTGGTTCTCAGAGCTCCCTCACTCCCTGCCAGCCTGTCTGGCTCTGCGAGTGACACCCACACACCAGGATCCATCTGTCCCCAGGCAGTGGGGACGACCCTACAAGGGAGGGATAGGAGAGCAGAGGGGAGCCTTACTGGAGTCCCCCACTGTGGGCCTGCCCCAGCGGGTTCCCGGGACACTGCACAGGGCTCCTGTTCCCTCCCTAGGGTCTCGGGTGAGGCTGTCTGCCCAGGTAGCCACACCACTAGCCAGCAGGAGCCACCATCACAGTCGCCAGTCCGCAGGCAGTGTGTGGGAGGAGACTGCTGGCGGTAAAATGACAGGTGTGAGCGAGAAGTGGGGGTGTGCATGCATGGGGGTGCTGTCCAGGCTGCTGTCTCTGAGGGTGCTGACTCCCCATCACCTTGTACTGGGCAAGATCAAGGGCCCGCGATTCCTGAGACTGCAAACGGGGCGAGGATGGGCTCAGTGAATGCAGCATGGCAAGGGCCCTGGGTTCCATCCCCAGCGCTTGTTATTAGGTTCTGGGAAGGTGGAGGCAGAAGAATCAGGAGTCAAAGTCTCCAATATGTACTGAAGTGGTAGCTAGCCTGGGCTACATGAGATCTTATCTCAAAAAATAAAGTAAGCAAAACTTTAAGGGTATAGGCAAAATTATCACCTCTGTATGTTTCTCATTCCTTCTTTTATCGACAGGATTTCTGTAGCCCAGGCTGGCCTCACACTTGCTGTATAGTAAGGGTGACCTTGAACTCCTTCTTCACCTCTCCAGTGCTGAGATGGGAGTCATCCCCCACTCATCCTGTGTATCCTCATATGACTTCAAACTCATCACCCCCCTGTCTCAGCTTCTGGAATCATCCTTTGGAGGGCAAAGCTGGTCTGACCACTCTTCTGTGTCCCTGTTGCTTTGGTACACAGCGGGCACTCTCTAAATGCTCCTTAAACAGTCAAATGGGGTTTCTGTTTGGAATGAGCCCATAGAGCAAGCGGGAATGAGTTCAAATTCAGGGCCACAGGGCCCACCACATTCATCTCTCCACAGACATGCCTGCATCCCCCATCCTCTCCTAGCCTGGGTCCCAGAGTCACTGTTGCTGTGTCCTAAGAGGTCCTGGGGTATCAGTGGCTTCCTGTGGAAGCTTGAGGGTCTGGCCACCAAGGAGGGCTGCATGTGAGGACCCCACCCTGGTCCTGTGCTCACTCCTGGATCTCAGAAGGCACAAAGAAAGGAACCTGTGTGCACACTGTCCTCATGGGTGACATCACCAGGGCTGCAGCTGGTGTCATCTTCCCACCTCAGTGAGGTGTGTAAACAGCAGGGCAACCTGATAAAGGGGTCACCCAATAGCCCCACACTGCTCAAAATCTGGGGCAATAAACATTAGCTAATGCTTGGCCTTGGTGCCTGTGTGGCCTGAGGGGAGTCTTGCTGTGATGGTGTCCCTCCGACAGGTAAGAAAATGAGTCCAGAGATGGTATTCTCCTCCCCTGAGACGTTCAGCGTCCGGTAGAGGCCAGATCGGGCTGGGTCAGCCCTGGGCACTACTGCTTCTCAGTGCATCCACAGCAGGCTCACCTCCTCCTCACTCAAACCAAGTCCTCCCAACACAGCACCAACGTAGCCCAGGCTGGGTGGCAGAGACAGGGGGAATGCTGCTGTGAGCTGAAGGCCATCCTGGTCTACTTAGTGAGTTCCAGGACAGCCAGAGCAATATAGAGTCTGTCTCAAAACAAAACAAATAAGCAAAACCCAAGTGCTCGCTGCAGCCCACCAGCCCCTGCCTGCTTCCCTCTCCTGCTCCACCTATGCTTCCTCGGCCACTTGGACCTCCTCCCTGCTCCCCCAACACCAACCAGGCTTTGTCCTGCTCCCAGACTGTCCTGTGGGCTGTGCCTTCTGCCTCAGGACTTTCACACATGCATGCTGTTCCCTGGGAACTACTGTCCAAGCTGTGGAGGGTGTGTGTGGTGGGAGGAGCTGTAACGTCTACCATTCTCCTCGGGAGAAAAACCTTGTCTGACCTACTGAGTTTAGATCATGCAGCCCTCAGTTTCCCCCTCTGCAAAACAGGTAACATTTCTCAAATGCCCATCACTGTTTCAAAGGTCAAATCAATGAATGCTTTGGGGGTTAGGGCTGAGTTTCTTAGCCCACAAGAGGCCCTGGGTGCCATCCCCCAGCTCCATTTAAACCAGGCATAGAAGGGCACATCTGTCAGGAGGCAGAAGCAAGAGGGTCA